AACAAGATAAGAATAAGCCAATCACACAAGACACAACGATTTACATGGAAAACCCTTCGATGTAAAGAGTAAAAAAACCATACGACCAAAAGCTCAACTATAAACACCAAGGGTTACAAAATTGTTCTCCAAAATTGGGCACAAAACAAGCGCCAAACAACGAGCAACAACAAATCAAGATTGCACCAAAACTAGAGAATTAAAGAAGAGATTTCACCCAAAAAGAACGCTACTGTTCACGCCATCAAATCAGAAGCTACAGACATTCAAATCCGATCTCCACCGTTGAATTGCAAGAAACCAGATGCTGAGAACTCCCAGTTCAAATTTGAGCACGATTCCAACGGTTAACGAAGCGGAAAACTCTGTCTGAAGCGGACTGCCTGAGCAGAAAATTTCCAGAAGCAAAAACGGGATTTTCTCTCAATCTCTAAAAACGAATCTCTCTTGATTTTTCTCTCTTGTGTTTCTGAAAATAAGACCAAATAAGCCTTATATATGCCACATAATTGTTGGGTTATGGGCTAAAGTGGGCTGGTCCTAATAAGACTTTTATTTATCCACATAGGAAGGGAAAAAAGATCCTAAACCCAACAGTAAGTTCTTGTTCTTATGATGTGAATGAGTCGTCCTCATATCATTTTGCTATTAACAGTATAGGTTATGCCTTGGTAGATATTTGTATTGGTTAACTCATTTTTGGGATATTAAGATGTTGTATAAAAAATTAACTTACAGTGTACAAGATGCATTTTATTTTTTCATTTTTGTAGGAGCACTTTTTATGCTGCCTATAAAATATTCTGAAGAAAAAGAAACACCTTAAGATATTATCTTATATTTGCTCTCAAGTATAGAGGTTTGTTTTAAATTCTCAGACAAGAAGAGTATGTAGGTTTGTTTACTTCTATATGCTTTCAAGTATAGATGTATTTTTTAATTTTCAGGCAAAAAGAGTATTAGAAGTCTGTTTTTGGTTTGACTTGCAAACGTCTTTGTAGGTATTATTGCTAAACATGATTTATTTCTGCATGTATATATTGTGACATGTTTAACACAATCGTTTTGTTGAAGTTACATTATCTGCCTAATTACAATATCTTTTGCAGAAGGTAATCTACAATAAAAAGTTCCAACTTATACAATAGGAGTTGCATGTAGGGAGAAGATTAGGAAGGAAACAATCCACCGTCTTTTCACCTTTAGGTAGCTCATAGCTTTGGAACATGTTCTTTTACACTTATTTCAGTATACATGTGGACGATGCCACTCTCACTTAAGGAGTTATTAGTTGTGATGGAACAATTTGAGCATCACAAAGGAGAAGAGGTCCTTTGATCTCAATATTCTCCCTGAAAGTGTACTTTTCCAACTTTATCATGTCATACATTGAACATTTCACACATGAATAAGTCCCTTATGTCTCCACTAATAATCAGTATTGAACGACATATAATTTCTTAATTCACAGAGAAACTATTGTTCTGTTGAAAAATCGATAATTACATGAAGATATAGCTTGAAAGTAACTGAAGTTTCTATGAAATACATATCATGCATGGATTACTGAAACAAGTCTTCTTGGGTAAGCAAATGTAATTTTTAATATACAACTGCTCTGCTTGATTTAAAGTTCTCTCATACTTCATTCATGAATTGTTTCTAAGTAACTGCAAGCTTCAGTTAGACATTTTTTTATCGAGAATTTGAGTCTTATAGGAGGATTTAACACTGCACACGTTGCTGCTAGGAACAACATAGTAATTAGATTTTGAATTTCATTAGCGAAGTTATAATGGTACTATTTAATTAGCTGGAATAGGATTGTATGGTGTTAGATTTCCATATTAATTTCAGGGCATATATCGTGCTGCAATTAAATTTAGTGGACTTGATGCCGATATCAATTTCAATGACAGTGACGATCACCATGATCTAAAACAGGTGTGTGGGATAAACAACCATTGATTCATTTAAGTATGAAAGCTTTTTTTGCACTTAGAAAATTGAATTTGGTTCACTATTATTCGTGAAGTGCAGCTTGACAGAAATAAGGAATAAGTCTCCCCTATCACCAACCTGTACCTTCTTTCAATGCACATTATTGTCTTGTGACTGGCATGTAGATGTCGAGCATCTCAAAGGAAGAGTTTGTGCATATATTTGATATATTAATGTCAGAGCACTGAATTGTTTAGATAAAGTTTAAAATACCGTGGAGTCAAACTGTACAAATATGCATGATGGGAGGCCTGGAAGGGGCAGTAGCTCAGAAAGAAGTGAGCTATTACTTATCACTCCCCATAGCTTATGCATGTCCCATATGATATTTTGTTTTTGTTTTTATTGCAGCTTTGAAACTTGCTCCGAATGTACTGCTAATGAAATGTGGCTTTTATTCCATGGAATAGTAACACAATAGTTAAGAATTTCCCATTCAATGTCATTTGTCAATGATGATGAAGCATGGAGGTAACTTCACGGTTGAACAGTTTGTTAGGCTTCGTTGTGAAGACATATTGCGAGTTCATTACTTTATCCTCTCCTCGAGGTCCAGTTTCAAAATGTACAGAGGTTGTTGATGTACTTAAGCTGAAACCGTGACAAATTTATTTATCATATCAAGCTTGAAACAACAAGATGCCTAAGTTCGTTTGTTAAATGCAAGATGAATATTCACTTTGTATCATTTGAGTTGAATAACTTGTATTATATGAAGACCAAATAGCTATCGGAAGAATCAATGAGTTACTACTATGATACAATGTTATGTTAAGAAATTTCAGCAGAAGCTTGTGATATTTTTGCTTCAACTGTAAGTTCTTATTTACCAATTTTTTGTTGCTTCAGTACGTAGTAAACTATATACAAGTGAAATCAATTCTCCGATAGACAGAAGCTTATATACTTGCCCATAATTTTTTTTAGTTTTATTCTAAACTGAAGCTTATAAGTTGTCTGAAAAGCTGTATAATGGAGACAACAACAGAAAATTAGAGAAACTAAGCCAAAGTAATTATTGGAAACAATGCAAAATATAAATGTTGGGCCTGTGCTATCTAGTATAGATAGATTATTAGTAGTAGTAGTAGTAGATAAATAGAAACATGAAGTCTAGGACAACCAAGGGTAAAAGAGTCTTTTTAATCTAAATAATATCTACCTACGTGGCTTTCTATCAATCCACATATTATAAAAGGATTTTTCTAGAATCATACTTTAGACCCAAATAAAGTGACCTTTTTTCTTCCTATTACTCCTCTTCAGTGCTATCTCAGTGTCTTCTCTTTCAATCGTTAAGTATCTTTTCCTCTTCTAATTTTTGTTTTAATTCTCAGTTCTCTTCTTTCATAAAATGGCTACTACTTAACTTTTACCAAGAAGACCACAATTTTCATATGATCTTTGATGTGGTTAGGTTGGAATCCATGATTTATTCATATTCTCTCTTTGATACCCAATTTATTTGTTTAGATTTCTCTCGATTTCTTTTTAATATCACCAATAAAGGTGTTGATGAAGAGCTGAATAATCCAGTAAATTGGGTGCATCAGTTTTCCTTAGTTAATGTGGCTTATGTACATTGTTATGTTGAAAGGTAAAATGTTATTGGTACTTGGGCAGAAATTATCTCCTCATTTTCTTGTTTGCTCCCATTTGTAGGTGAACTATCTATTTGATTGTAGTCTTTAAGTCTCTGATGATCAGTGTGTGATACATTATTAGAGGTAATTTACAAGTCACTTTACCTTTTTCTTTTGGGATATGTCTCTACTTTTTACAGTTCATTTTTGTCCTTTTTGCAGTTCATTTTTGTCCTGATTTTGATTTTCTTCCAATGGTTCCTATGAGCATTTGTTGTATTTCAGTTGTTCTAGAATTATGTAAATATAATGGTATATCGATAAAAATATGTAAAAAATACTTGCCCCTCGGTGATTCATGGTTAAAAGAGGTAACAAAGATATCAAAATAACTAAGCTATTGAAGCTATACCTAATGCACTATCTGAATGTTATGATTAATTTTTTCTTGGTCAATATGCGGCTTTCACAAAGGGATTCATGATTCCTTCGTTGAATTTCTCAAGATATTCAGTGATGCTTTGCTCAATGATTGAATATGCATCGTCATTTGCTCGGCTTAGAACATGTAAGATGCATGTGTAACCTCTTTCTATTGTGCTACTTTGGCAGCCACATATGTAAGAAGTAGAAGTAGCTTATCGAGGCAATAATTGCTAATGGAACTTTATTTTATAGAAAGTTAGACATTTTATTATAAAGCTAAATGAAAATTTTGAATTAGCTAAGGGTGTTGTATAACATATATCTATATATGGGTAGTCTCATTCGTGCTATGAATTCACTTTTTTTTTTTTTAAATCACCCTGAGTCTACATTGTCTTTGCTATTCGATTTACATTTGTGTCATAATCCACCTTCTCCTTAAGTTGTTGAATAGAGCAATGTAGAAAGCTACAATTATTTTTATTCAGTCTTGCATCTAATTGTCGTATTCTACCTTATTTCGGTTCTATTGTGTTATTTTTGTGGCCGCACCATGTGCAACATGTGGTCTAATTATATATGTTCTAATAAATTAATTAGTATTGGTCATGTATTTAGATGGATCTTTACTTTGGTTAGACTTTGATAGTTTTTATGCTCTATAGTGATACTTCGGTTCTCATTTACTGCTGCATTTTAGATAGTTTGGGTTAAACTCATGCTAAGGATGATAATGCCCTTTGATAACTAAAATATTGTAAATAAATCTCAAAGACAATTATACTATCAGATTCTACATAAAAAGTAGGCCTTTTGTTGAGAGTTGTAGCCTAGAACTGAATCTAAATATCCATCAACTACTATTGTCAATCTCATGAGCCCCATATGGTCCTTATGAAGTAACCTATATGATAGAGAAGATTATGGTGGATTTCTAGCAGTAAAGGTAATTTTTTTTGTGAGATCTTGTTCAAAAATAATTCATGTAGGGTGTTAAAATGTTGGGGAATGGATACAAATGAATCAGGGACACAAAGGTCCCTTGTTACGTGGCCTGTTTCACATAGTTAATATCCACCAATCTTATTTAACACATGGTAATCTATCAAAAAAAGTTTAAACTTGTGGAATATATGGAAAGGAATAGCCACATGTACCAATTTTTTGGTGGCTCACTGCTTTGGAACATTTAATCTAAAAATGGACGTCATACTCAACAAGGAGTTATTGTTAATTAATTGTGATGGAACAACTTGAACATCATAAAGAAGAAGAGGATTTGGTGGACAACATTAAAAAGAGAGGAGTCTTAGTTGTTTTGGAGACAAAATAAAACACATCAATAAAATCAAATAGAAATTTGTGTGGGGTTGTCTTTATGGTGCCCTAGACTTCACTTGTGATTACATCTGTATGTTGTTGTTGTTGTCTATTTAGTGCATGTAGAATATAACATAGTGGTGTAATATAAGAAAAATCATTATTACATTTCAGCGATTTTGAAATATATAATGCAACTTATTGGGGTATATAATACACCAACAGAGAGCATTCAGTTACCAAACACAACATTCAGAAGTGTACTAGCTCAGTCAGTTTTCTTGGTGCTATTTAGTAGTAATTTTCAATATTTTTTGGATTAATTTCGCCCAAAGCAAAAAGTTATGTGATTCTTGCGAGTTTTATTTTTTGCTCTGCCATTAAAGTACCTTTGTCTTGAATATTATATATGATTGCATAAATTGGAAAATTAGAGAGATGATGCCTTAAGGTTATAATGCTCATTTTCTTTTTGGACAGATGTAGTATTTTCTCATAGGCTTACATCATATCATTGTAAAATAGCTTTAATAAAAAATATTTATTTATATTGAAACTAACTAACACAAGTATAATATGCTTCACATTTCCAACATATCAAGTAGTTTGGTTCTGCCAAGACAACTAAAAAGAGTGCCAAACAAGTATGAATATTTGTTAGTGCTAATAGCCCAGGTACGTTCTTTGCAGTCTCTATACCTCAAAAAAATTATATATATATATATATTTTTTGAAGATTTCATTGTCACAAAATTTCTCTTTTCAGTACAAACAAAGGAGAATGTGTCTTAGGTGAAATATTACACAAAGCTTTATCCATGATATTTTAACGTTGAATGTCTTTGAAACTTAACTGTTGAACAAACATATTATAAATAGTTGTTGACAACCTACCAAAGGTGATTGGTGCGGTTTCAGACTTTACTTTTGTAATGTTATATCATTCTGTCATAGTTCAGACATTTCTTAGTTATTCAAAGTTTCAAGTACCATAATCTTATGTTGCTTGGACTCTTTAAAAATGTTAATGGGTACATGCTAATTTCTACAAATATAGTGTATTTTTAGAGAATTCGACATGGGTGCATCATCATAACTGAAGAGTCCGTACAACATGGCCACAATCAGTAAGTGCGGTGGAGTTTTTAGTTCATTCTGAATTTTGGCTTTGTTTCTTGAATCTAACTTGACTCTTTCAGCCGAGGTAGTTGAAATTATTTTAGATAAGTTGTTGGTCTAATGGTTAATGCAAAAAATAGTTGTAAGATGGATAAAGTAGTTCTAGCTTGACTAATTGGCTTGATATGTTTGTGCTGTCAGTGTGGTGTTATAGGTTTTGCTATGATTAACAAATATCGATATTTCACTATTGTAAAACATAAAATTATTTCAATATGGTCACAAAATTCTGATTGCTTGAAGTAATATAAGTTGAATCTGTGATTTTTTTTTGATGAAGTGAGATTACATTAAGGCATTCAGTAGATGCAAAGATATGGAAGGGGGATCTGAATTCTGGGATTTTAGTTTCAAATTTATATCTTAAGAAGTAACTGCAATTTTTTTAAAATAATCAAAATTTACTTTCAAATTTTTACTCAAAAGTAATGGTAGGTCATCATGTTGGCATGTATAAGCTCGGTAGACTATCACTAAGATTCACTCCTAGGCATACCCAAAACTATTATATTGGATTGAGTTCGCTGCCTCAACAAGTTCACCTATAGCAACTTCTTATTTTTTGCAAAATCGTTTTTTACTTGATCTGATCAATCAAGTATCAACACTTGTATATAAATTTGCCAACATTAACTTAATAACTGAATCTAATGTGTATTAAGTTCATTGATGTGTTTTTAAGGAAGATTATGTGTATTACTACTGACAACTTGAGGAACACTAGATTATGTGCTTCTAAAGGTGCTCATTAGTTTGTCATATAAGTTGTTTCATTTCATATCCTCCGAGCAATAACTTCCATTTCTGATTTGCTTTTTGTTAATGGTGTAATCTTTTTTATACTTATGCATGGTTATCTGCCTTATGAAGAAGTCAAATCTCATGTCATTATATAAGGAAGTGTGCCTATTTGTTATCGGTCATTCCAAAATGCAATTTGTATCATACATTTTCCTTGGAAGAGAATTTTAGGTAAGTGAGTATTATTGACAAAACTCTACGAATGACACATAATGAGGAATTGATTTAATTGTAGGTACATAAAGCTGAATTTGCATGTCCATCATAATTTTCTTCTAATGCAAAGAAACGAATCAAAGAAACCTTGGATTTAGATTTAATGACGGTATGTATATCACACTATCTCCTTCTCCAAGACAAAAGAGAAATAGAGCAGAAAGTTAACTGGTGTAATGTATTTATATATAATAGATGTGTTTAGTTGGCTCTTTATCTGCACTTGAATTTAGCTTCTCATTCATTACCAAAATACGATTTGATGGCAGCATATATTTGCATTAGAAAGCCACAGGTTTCTATACCTGATCTGGATGCACAAATTTATATGCAATTTCCTTCGCAAGCGGATTGATTGGAGTAATATGACTCTACATATGGCTGAAAACATTTATAATATACATGTGTGCGTCTTTAAAGTTGAAAGTGAGTTTCGGTATGCACACATTTATTTTACTGCTATAATTTGACCTTACCTGATTATGTGAAAAATGTAAAGTTGAATGTGAGACTTAATTGTATTTTCATTGGAATTGATGTTGTGAAGTTTGTTAATGTTGCATTAACTTTTTATGGCATTTACTTTGATCTTTGAGCGAGAAAGTCTTACACATGTAATTTCCATTCACTTTGAAAATGAGGAAGAAAACAAGGTTTTCTATGATGAGCTTGAGCTTGCACAAGGGAAGACAAACGTGGTTGTTCAAGGTCTGTTTGGAGAGGTCTATTGCTTCAAAAGTTAATCTTGAATTTTAATTGAGATGGTAACAAAACTTGCTTTTGGAGTAGGTTGACCCTTGATGATGTAGCATAGAATAAATTGTCAATTCTTAAAGAATAGCGACGAAGTGTGATTTACAAGTAGATTTTATGTAGTGCATTCAATATCTATGTAATAAAATAATAATCGATTGCCTTCTTATTATGTATATGTTTGATAAGCTTTGAATTTGGATACTACATTGTGAATGTTTGACCAATTTACTATTGCACTAATTGTTGAAACTTGAAAGAAAAATGATGGTGCATCTCGCTTGTTTCTTATTTGATGTGGATTCTTTTTTTGTTCAAGCTAAGAAATGTGATCCATTATTAAATGTTGGATATTGTGTTTTTGAAATTACAGTTATTTAAAATATTTTTTGCTGCGTTGGTTCTCAAACATATTTCATAGGTAGATCAAACACAATTAAAATTATATCAGAGTTTTAAATGTTGGGCCGTGCTTAGCACGAGCAAGAACCATCAAGTTATATAGAAACATGAAGAGGAGGACGACCAATGGCAAGTTTGTAAATATGTTCATTTTCAAGGGTAATATAATCGTCATACTTAGATTTTTTAGCAAACCACATACTCTATCTTTCTTTTCCCTTCTAGAGCTTTCTCTCTCTTTCCCCTCACTTCTATATTAAATAATAAATAATAAAATTAGAATGAGATGACTTAAGCAAAGAAATAGGCATAGTGCTCTTCTTCTCTATCTCCATGATGCTCGAGTTGGGTAATTGTTGGTATTTACTATCAAGATGAGCTCGGAAGCCTATGCACTTGCCAGATTAGGATTAATTTTTTGAAATTTTTAAGGGATATGGCTGAGGTGTTTGACAAATATTCAAAGAGAAAAAGATAGATTCCATCACCAACAATCCTTGTGTTTGGTAAGCTTTCAATCATCTTTCACTATATTTATTTAGGAAAAAGGGTTTGATATACCCCTCAACTTTGCTATTTGGAGTTGATATGCCCCTTGTTATGAAAGTGGCTCATATATACCCTTACCGTTATACAAACGTCTCACATATACCCCTACCGTTACAAAATGAGCTCACATATACCCTTAATTTAACGGAAGTGAAAAAAATAGTTTTAAATTTATGTTTTTGACTTTTAAATTTTTTTAAAAAAATCATGTAGGGGTATATATGATTCTTCTAGCGAATTTCAAGGTATATTTTAATCTTTTTTATACACAAGTTATTTTTTGACGTCTTTGATTATCATTTTTTGAGTTTCTTATTCTTATTTTATTTTTTTCTTTCGTTCCTTAGTGTAAAGAGAAAAATTTAAAAATAATTTTTTTGTGGCTATATTATAATTTAAACTATTTTTTTGACTATATTGTTATTTAGTTTTTGTATTGAAAAAAATTTGGTTCATCTATAATAAAGTTTACAAGAAAATTAGTGAACCATAAATAAATTTGACCATCAAAGTAATAACTTTAAATTAGTCGTTGAAACAAAAAAAGTCAAACAAAATTATGTGTCAGGAGGATTAAATATACTCATCTGGGATTATATTTTTTAAAAATAATAATAATAAAATTCTTAAATTAAAATTAATTTTTCACTTCCGTTAGAGGAAAAGGGTATATGTGAGTCATTTGTATAGCAACAGGGCATATATGAGCCACTTTCATAATGAAGGTGTATCAGCTCTAAATGATAAAGTTGAGGGGTGTATCAACTCTAAAGGGCATATATCAGGCACTTTTCCATTTATTTATTCCAATTTTTATCATTTCCATTCCCTTTTGTATGATGAACTCAAGTTCAATCTCTGAAATAAGTGTATGTAGATTCTTCTATTTCAATACTCTGTTTAGTAGTTGTTATCCTTTTGGGTATATGTATGTGTTCGTTTATAAAAGTTAGTACTTCCTTTCATTTGTCCCCACAATCGAATAACATACCTTTTTGAAGGTTCCAATTCCAGTGGAGTTATAAAAACACTATAGGTAAAATAAATAAATTTGCTCAAGGTTGGTGGGTAGAATTATCAGATACTTGTGTTGGTGCATTGTCGAGGTTAGTGCAAGGTGGTTCGGACACTGGCAATTGGAGAACACTCTGGAGAGTTTTGTCATATCTTCCACTCCACAGGCATTCAGATTTCTCATAAGAATAATATTACGTGAGGTATTGCTTTTGTTCTAAGCTACAATCCTATCCCTACCTAATAAAGAATGAGAGAATGATCAGACCAATAAAGTCTCTAGCAACTGGATATGTAGGATGAGGCAACACTCTGGATCCTCCTTACTTTCCAAATGAATAAATCAGAAAAAGGCTTAATTCTCTATTTTCGGGTAGGGGTGAAAGTCATAAGAGAAAATTACCCTATCGGTAAGAAAGATGGGAGAAAAGTGTTGTCATCTATCATTCTTCTCATCTTCAGTTTTTATTTGTAGCGAGATTTGATAAAGTATGCATATGTAATTTTCTGTTGAAGAATATTTGACGTTCACCACTTGTTTGTAAAAATGTCTTAACTAGAAAAATTATATTTATGTTTTCATTGTTAAGTAAAATTTGAATTTTCTGTACTTATTTTAAATTCCTTGAATGTTTAGAATTGTACGATAGACTTGGTGCTGTCACATTGCCTCATTGGTGAATGGTACCACTTCTCATGTTAAAATGTATTGAGCTTTTTGCTATTCCTCGTGTATTTCTTTTTATTTGCTCATGTTTTTGTTTCACTTATGATTTTAAAGATTCATTTTTCCCAATTTTTGCATAAATAACTAAGGGATAGGACACAAGTATCCCCTAGATTATGACTGAAACCCAGAGACACACCTAAACTTAACTAGGGTCCTATTACCCCCTTTAACTAATTTAAAATGAAATAAATACACTATAAACACTGACATGGCATAGAGGTGTGCACACTCTCCTGAAAGGCAAGTGATGAGTGCACAAATTGGACACGTGTCATTTTTTATTGATAATATTATAATTAGTTAGTACACATATTTATGATATTAAAACTTATATATATTTAATTGTTTTTATTTCTTTCTTCGTAAAAAAAATATTTTAATTTCTTTTCACTTTAAACTTTTTTTAATTAATTTATTATATTTTCACTTTTAATTATTTTTAAAATATTACGTCTTTTTAAGAAAAAATTAATTTAAAGTGTCCAAAATAAGTGAAAAAATCTGTCACGCCCCGAGCCTACACCCTGGGCGGGACTGGCACTCGAAAGCCATTGTTGTCCTCAAGCGAACCCTTTGCTTGACTTACTTACTCAACGAAGACTTAAACATAAGAGATGTAACTCATGCAATACTTAAAAGATAATAACTTAGCCAAAGATGGCAACTCAAGTCTTAAACATATACAACTGAAATGAATAAGACTAAAGAACTAATACTATATGTCTAAGAAGCCTCTAAAATAAAGAGGGATGTCGGGACAGGACCCTCGATCGTCCTAACATTTGAAAACTAGAAAGTAGATGATAAAAGAATCCTCCGGGATGCAAGGAGGCTCACCAATAGACTCTGAGTGCTGAACCTGATCAACGAGGCGCTAGATGCTGATCCTGGTTACCTGCGTCTGCATCATAAGATGATGCAGGCCAACTGGCATCAGTACATTCAATGTACGAGTATGCGAGTTGGAATGCTAAACAAATACATAGGCTTGAAAAGATTCTGAAAGAAACACTTACCTTGGCTCTTCTCAACTCATGAATAAACTCAACTCAAAATAAAGCAATGAAACACATTCAATATATGAAAAGCTTTATAAAATAGTAAAAGCAACTTAGTTCGTTAAATAAAATGCATTAACAAACTCAACTTTACTCATATACAAAGTAATATAGTTTCTGTGGGAGTTTCTCTAATCGACAACCACCACTATGAGCCTAAGTGGTGATACAACGTCTTGCCCACGCTGCCAGAACTGTCCTATACTTCGTCATCATATAGAACTACTTAACTTAGTGGATCCCCTAGCTTATGCTAAAAGTATCTTAAGGAGTCATCTAAAAAGTATGATCCTTTACTACCCATGATGGTTACATGGTTTATGGAGACTTGAGTTAATATGAACTCGCATCCCCATATCGGTGCTCAATACTACTCCCAAAAATATACTTAGCTCATATGTTTTTAAAACAAACTTGTTTCTTTGGTTTGAGATAATTACTCAAAACTTAGCTTAAAAACTCTCTTGGAATAAATGTTCCCTTTCTTGCTCTAATGTGAAAACATTTATAATCTGTTTGGGAATACTTAGTTCCTTTATAGCTTTTTGAGAAATGAACTCAACTCTTTACTATTTGCTTAATTTTAAACTTAAGTCTTAAAACAAAGTTAAAATGTTTGTGAACGACTTTGGAAAACTTTATGAACTTCTTTTGACTTACTTCTTAACTTTTAGACTTGACTCTTAACTTCTTGACTTAGCTCTTAACTTTCCTTGAATTGAATTATGGATTCAAGGTTAGGATTCGTGTTTCTGGTTGATTTCTATGTGTTTAGAAGTCATTTGAAGTAGTTAGAATCAATAGGAAGTGTTAGAACACTTTAGAAGGACTTAAATGGATTGAATGATGAAAAATTGGGTGAAAAATGCCGATCCGGGCGCATCCGGGGCGCGCAGCGCCAGGCCCCAACTTACTGGGGCTCATTTTGGGCGCACTGCAGGCGCACCGCCCCAGACCCCCTGGCGCAGATGGGGAGCGCCGCGCCTGACCCTCCCCAGGTATGCCTGACGAATTTTTCAACTCGTTTTTCTGATCCTAAATCGTTTTAACCCGATTCTTTTTCTCAATTTCACTTTAAATTCATGTACCCAAGTCATATATCCAAGGATCTAACTCGGAGAACTCAAGAAACAACACTTTAACATCAAGAAACTCCTAGATCTCAACTCATGTTCAAGAACGCAAGCAATTCAAGAACATTCAAATTCCAATCTTTTTAGAATGAATTCGAGCTGAATCAAACATGCTTGGCACGTAGGTGAACAACCCCAATGTTATGAAAGGCTCACATACCTTGTAGGATCAAATCCTTGAAGAAATCCACAATCAATTCCTTACAAAGACGACGAATCTTGCTTTTTCCTTTTCTCTTTTCTCTTGCGTTCTTTCTCCAAAAACCCTAACTCTATTTTTTGAAAGCATAAACTGACTAAGGTTACCAAAAACGAATTAAA